GACGTACCGATGATGTTGATCTCGGTTTTTTCCCAAAGCGAAGCGAATAACAATATTTATCACATCCTATATATTTGCGGATGTCGTTAGACTTGATAAAACTGAGTCTAAGTTGCGCAAGGTCTTATTTTTGCAGTCGCCAATTTATTGACACAACTGTAACAATGAAATGTAAACTTAAATTTTTCTATAACTTTTTTTTTAATCTACTATCGTTATCAAATAAGGTTTCTTGGATCAGAGAAGAAATTTAAAAAATAAATTGTTGATTGCAAATTTGCGTTTGAAAGCATATCTAGTTAGTAGTAGGATTTCATATCTGCATAGGAGTCTGGGCAGGTGTATAGATCACTCTAAACTATTTTTGCCGTCAAATGGAATTACCTGCACTGCTGTGTTCCAACATGAACGGTATAGAGAACTAACATAATTACAGGTTGTGAAACATTCGTAGTCTTCACAGGTGACATCGCATCAATAGCCTAAGTAGTTAGATGCTTGCTGGTGGTGTCAGTGGACTGCAGCAGCCACTTACCACCAGTACTACAGTTTGTTTGTCAACTCATTAAAAAAATCTCTATTCTATTATATACTAAAACCTCTATTATAAAAAAAGCTCCATTCTTTATCCTAAAACACTATTAAAGCTTTTATACGTGGTAGAGCCATGCTGACGCTATATTAGTAATATAGTCGTAGCACGTCAGCTCGACCGGGGTAGAACCACGCTCTCACAGAATACCAGCGTAAAATAGCAGCTTGACACTTAGTGAGTGTAGAGAACCGGAGACCCTTTTACTGGAAATGAGGCATTCCATCTTAGTCCTCACGGGTGACAACGCATCTGCATTTTGTTTGATGTCGATGTCTATGGGCCACAGCAACCACTTACCATCAGGTGGACTGTGTGCTCGTTTGTCAACCTAACCTATAAAAAAAGCTCGAAAGTCCATCGCGGCCTGAAGCAGACCAACTCCAATTTAAGCGACAGTAGCCTAATGGCAGGGTGCAGATTGCGGCTCAAAATGTCGTGGGTTCGAATCCACCATTCGACTACTGTCGTGAACTACTCCTAACAAATAAAGCATTTTCAGCTTACCAGTAGTGGTTAATAAATATTCCCTACATTAGTAATGTTAATAGACTTACTAGTATTCACCCATATTCACATCTATTACGCGTGGAGTACCTATCGCCCTCCCCAACTTTAATGTGTATTGTACCTCCTACTTTATTTAAATACATTAAACAGGTGGCACGTTTTTATTACCTTGGCCTTGGCATAGTTTAACTGTGATACATTACTGTCATAACGATTGTTAGTCATCTATAGTCATCGTATTGTTACGAGTAAGTAAATGACAAACGTAAATTTATTATAACATTATATGCATGTACACATGTTACGTTGTTATAATAATGTAATGATTGGGGCGGGATGGGGAGTGTTCAAGATCACCCAAGTGTTCGATAACTAGTTTTAAATTAGTTATATCTATACAAATAAATAAAATTGAAGTGTCTGTTTGTAATGTCAAAATTACAGTTTTTTTACTAAATGCGTATGAAAGTAAATAAGGTACTTATAACTAAAATACAATTTTTAAAATTTTTGTCTGATCTCCGTCTGTCTGTTTGTTCCGGCTAATCTCCGAAACGGCTGAACCGATTTTGACGGGACTTTCACTGGTAGATAGCTGATTTGATAAGGAGTAACTTAGGCTACTTTTATTTTAGAAAAAGAATTAGGGTTCCGCGCAAAAACATAAAAAACCTAACACGCGGGCGAAGTTGCGGGGAACAGCTAGTCTATACATATAAATAAAATTGAAGTGTCGTGTCTGAACGTGCATACCATTTTTAAAAGGTTTGTCTGTCACTCTGTCAGGGTTAATTTAATGAAGGGCTGTATGTGTATACCGATTGTAATTAAACTTCACGAACAGATAGAGAATAATTCCAGGAGTGATCTAGACTATATTTTATCCGAAAAACTTGAAGAGTTTTTCTTTTTTGAAAAACAGAAGAATTATGAAATAAGTGATTTTTGTTTATCTTAAATTTAAATAACGCCAAATTAATCGATCCTACCCAGGAGAAGCCGGGGCGGGTTGTTGGTTGTATGATAAAATCACATAATAACGGCTCCATGGCGCAGTGGCTTAGCAATGAGTTGCTGAGCTGGGGGCCGCGGGTTCAAATCCCGCACGGAACAAATATTTGTATGGCCTGCAAATAATTGTTTGTCCTTGTGCAATTTATGTTTGTAAACTGCCTCCGAGATAAAGGAGAAAATTCTAGTGTAGGGGTAACGTTTAAAAAAAAATAAAAAATAATAATAATATAAGAAACATTATAATATTTATGTTTGTTATTTTTATAAAACTAAGGTTTACATTTATTTATTTCATCACAGCCTACCAAAATTCCACGGCTGACCATAGGCCTCCCCCTTAGATTGACTCATAGGGAGATATTTATTGCTTTACCTTTCGTATTTTTAAGTTGGTAAGCGCAGTTTTTTTATCATTTTGTTTTATTTTCCCCTGTTATTGTCTTACGACACCCGCGGGGTGAAGCGAACATAATAGTAGCATATTAGTAATTATCTGTCAGTTAACCCTTATAAACAAGAAACATATTGAGTGACGCAGTTATCGAACAAAAAATAAAAACTTTTAGTTCAGACGAAATAAATTTGTCAAGTGCATTACATGCTCTATTAGTGTTTTTTTTTTATTAACTCAAGTGGCAAACGGACGAACAGTCATACAGTTATATCATCAACGAAAGTACTGTAATATCTCTTTATTATATTTTACATATAAATTAATGTTAATAAACCGATACGGTTTATTAATATTAATTTAATGATTCAAATAAATATCTGTGAACTTTCAAAATATAATAAAGTCGACTTTAAAAAACTCGGAACGTAGCAATTCAACTAAAAAATTCTGTTTCATGTATAAAAATATTTTTCATTATACTAATCAATTTTTTATAGAATATGTGTGACAAAACAACAGTCCACCTGATGGTAGGTGAATCCTGTGGTTTAATCTATCCTCGATTAAAAATCAAAGTGTAGATGCGTTGTCACCCTTGAGAAATAAGATGGAATACCCGTTTCCAGTAAACAAAAGGTTTTCCACACTCACCATACAAACACAGTAGCATTATGCTGCTATTTACGCTGGTATTCTGTGAGAGTGTGGTCCTTCACCGGTTAAGCTGACCTTTTCGTGCTACAATTATAATATCATTAAAAAATATGGATGGGTTTGTTGTAGTTATACCACTACTGGGTTTTATTTTGTTTTTCATATAATTGAAGGCTATAGAACAAACGCAAAAGTGATTTGATTTACGCTCATTCCGTCGCTTGTGGTACTCCGTTGCGACATGTTAATTTTAGGCTATTTACAAACATACACAATGAACGTATCGACATGATGACGAACTAAACAACTTGAGCCTAGTTCGAGAGTTCAGTTCGTGTGTTAATTTCCGTCGAACAATAATTAGACTTTTATAGTAGTAAGCCGGCTTCGAAGTACTAAAAATAAAAAATAATTATATCCGCTTGATAGCTTCAGAAGCAGTTGCTAAGACATAGTATATAGAAGTATTAAAAATCTGACTTCTGACGCTATTGTGAGGAAATTAATCTGTTATTTTTATTACTTTAAGGTCGGCTTTCACCTTTTATCAAAATTCTAAACACTATAAAAAATTACCCTTTTGAGTGGACTATACTAACTCAACACTTCATCCCCATTTTCCATTCTTAGTGGTGTAATGTTTTCTCCAAATTCATATGAGATCCGACTTAAAGTAAGGTTATACTTTAATAAAAAATATTATTAAAATCGGTCTACAATTGACGAATATATCGAGTAACATACCTACATAAAAAAAAAACATGCGTGAGTATCGTGGAACACTCGGTTAAAACGAGGTTCCTTTCTTAGTACATAATATATTATTATTGATAAACGTATTATATTATTAACTAACAAATACAAATAAATTAATTATGCTAGCATCTATTAAAATTAATTCTTTTATGACATGATAAGAAAATGTGCGAGGTAGATGGAGATTATTCCATCTCACTCGCACTATAGAAATGAGGCTCGTGACGGAAAAATCTTACACATTTTTCTCGCCTGGCCTCCATCCATCAATTTCGTACAGTGCGATAAAGAACTTCGCTCCAAAAAGAACATACACACAAATAGAGGTCCTTTTTTTGAAGTCGGTTAAAAATAATATAAACCAGCATTCCAGAATCATTTGCGAAATAAAAATATGTAAAAGATGTGTTCAATAAAATAATATTTCAAAAGATTTTCATTTTTTCAATTAATCTATGACCCACAGCATCTACTTAGCACGTGCTTATTACGTACCACTTACGTGTGTGCTCATTTGTCACTTTATTCTATAAAAAACTAAGGAAAACACGAATAGCTACTTGGCAGCAGAAATATGAGATAGTGTTACTTATCCACACGGACGGCCAAGCATATAAGGAGTCCAACCACATAGAATTCTAAATTCGTATGCTTGCATGCTCTATGCAGGTAAAGTTTTGCGTGAACCAATGGGGGCTAATAAATAACAATCTTACGCTCACCAGATTTCGCTAGTTGGGACCGAGGTGAAGTTTGGACTGCACAGCGTAATTTAATTGAGAATTTAGTTTTTAAATAAAAGTTTAGCAGTGTTTAGATTATTACATTAATACACAAAACAATGCCTTAGTGGTTTGCTCTTTTTTTTAGAGATATTCGTAGTTTGGTTTATTCATTTCTAATCTAATTAATAATAAATATAGCTAATATTACATAAAGAAACATTTAAGCTTACTTTTCCTAACAAATTAACTTCCCCATTAAAGCACGGTCGCGGAGCCTGAATTTTTTTATTGCTTTGCATTTTTAAACTTAATTCCCATCTCAAATTTTTTTATTTCTATTGAAATTAAGATAGTTTTAGGACCTTTTGAACAGTATTTGTGAATCGAAAACCGAGTTTATTCTCAAGCTGTTAAAGTTCACATTTGTATGAATTGCAATTATTTGAAATTCTTCCTGCTCCGCGATCACACCATATGAAATCTGTATTATCTGTATTATCTGAATATTTGAAGATGTAAAAATATTTAAAACCAAAAATAAATATATTATCTGATTCCAAAGCGGCGCCGACAGGAAAAGTCTTGGATGCCCTCATTAACAGAAGAAATGAATATAATATTCCATAAAAAAAAGCTGATCACTAAACCCAAGAACCACACACGGTTTCCCACTGATTGATTAATCGTCGTCACTGTATTACCGAGGTCGGACACGCGTAGGCGCTGTGTTGTACATACGTTCATTACGTGCAGGCATCCGAAGGTTTACGACAATCATTTCACTATTTATTGCTTCTGTTAATTGGTTCATGCATAGCTTTACACGAATATACGAGGATACGTATGTAGAATTCTAGGTGGTAAGACTAATTACATACCTGGGCGACCGTCTGTGCAGGTACCGCCCTCTCACCTACTTCTGAAGAAATAAGTGAGAGGAGAAGATTTTGTATGATATTATTAAATGTTTCTTGCAAAAAGTAGTGCGTGTTTGTTTTTATAGAATAAGGTAAGAATAAGGTAACAAAAGAACGCAAATCCTGATGGTAAATGGATGCTGTAGCCCAAAATGTATACCCCTGAAGATTAAGATAGAATGCTTCGATACCAGTAAAAAGGGTTTCACCATACGAAGCAGCATTAAGCTGTTATTTCACATTGGTGTTCTATGAGAGCGAAGTCCTTCTCTGGCCGAGCCAACCCATACGTGCTGCGTGGTGGAGGCTTTGCCTCTCTTAAGGCGCATCACTTAATATGTGTGATACCTCAAAATACATATACGTAAAACATAAATACTCACGCCTCTCACCCAGAGGGGTAGGCAGAGACTATGGATCCTGACACACCTCTCGCTTTCTCCACATCCATATACCTACGCATACACGCTCGTCGGTTAAAGGTACTCTTAATTTGGCCCTTTTTCAATATATCGCCAATTTGGTCGATAAACTTTCACTTACTTGCCTAGGGCGTCCCTTCCCGACTCTGGCCGTTCACCTCTGCAACATAAATTTGCTTTGTCACTACTTCCGCATTCATTCTTTCTACGTGACCAAACCACCGAAGAATTCCTTTCTTAATCCTGGTCATAACATCATCTTGCAAATGGTCTTCTCTTACCAAACAATTTCTCACCCTGTCATTGAGATTCATCATTAACATACTCCTAAATGACCGCATTTCTACAGCATTTACCATACTCTCTTGCTTCTTCTGCCACACTAAACTTTCACTACCATACATTAAAGTAGGGAATAACAGATCATTCTGAATTGCCAAACGTGCCTTTTTGAACACATTCTGACTTCCCACAATAGAGCGTAGAGCTCCATTCAGTCTATTTCCTGCGTTCACTCGTCGTTCTATATCCTTATCATATCTACCATCCCTGCTAAATTCACATCCCAAATACACAAACCCATCTACGTGCTCAACCAAACCTCATAATAGTTTTGTGTGATGTAGTTTTTCATCATTAACTTGTAGTCATTCCGTGGCTGTGCTAGGGTTATTAAAGAAATACTTCCAAAATGTTCGGTAAACTTCATGCGTTTGAAAAGGATTATTTTTTTTTTTGCGCCCGAAGCAATTTGGAAAAAGGCTACCCTTTACGGGAGGCGGAAAATGCATTACGCATACCACGATGGCTATCCATCGTGGTTATGGGGGACTCACACCTAACGGGGGAGCCTATGTGATACCCCCTAAAAACCGCCTTTGGGGACTGGCAACCAGCTGTTTAAAGCTCCCTATGCCGTATCGTAAAGCGACCCTCTTTTGGGAAAAAGAGGGCGCAGGCGGCTATAAGCCGCTGAGGGAGTGCCTACGAAGGCAATTTGATTGTAAAAATTTAATTATTTATGAAAGTTTAATTATGAAATTGACTGAGCCACCAGGAGGTAGTTCAAATCGTTTGACAGAGAATAGGCGGGTTCGAGTGGGAGTTCCTCGGCCTGCGGATGCGATAGCGAGAGGGAGTGGGGTTGCACACTTAGCTACCTCACGAATAAGTATGTTTAATGAAACTCTGAGACTTTGAAGAAGTTTCAGAGAGTTTTAATTAGTGAGTGCCTACGGAGGCAGTTTTAACCCGACGTATTTACCTTACGATGAAATGATTAAAATAATTTTATAACGTACTTAAAAGATTATGATGCTCTGTAAGAGCAAGGAGTCTGTCCTGAGGGGACTTGGCAGCACGCAATTTGCGTGCTAAGACTGTGATCTCCCCAATGTTGATGTTCTTAATAGCGGTGTACACCGTATTTAGATCGTCAGCCATTGAGGGTTGTTCATGCTGTGCAGCGGGGGACGACCGCGGAGGGTCGGCCTTTTTGGGTCCCCAGGGGAAGACTGGAGGCTGTAATGGTTGCGAGAAGCCCGGAGGTGGGCGAAGAAGAGGGGGAGGGACCCGGGAGGGCCTTGGGTCTACCTGAGATGGGCGAAAATATCTCTTAGGTGGCAACCTTGACGGGAGGGCCGGGAATGACTTAGCATTAACCGGCGGTGGAGCGTGCCTAATGGGGCGAGGGTGAGGTGCGCAAGGGCAGCCTCTGTAGTTAGCCGGGTGGCCTGTTTGTTTGCACAGGACGCACGCGGGTGGGGATTCGGCATTTTTGGGCCGGGGACACTCTTTCGTGTTGTGGGGGTCGAGGCACTTAACGCACCTGGGTGGGGCGGAGCAGTTGGCCGCCGCATGACCATATAACTGGCAGCGGTGGCACTGCGCCGGGTAGCCGCGCCTATGTGGGAGCTCAGCCCTAACTCCCGACAGCCCACACACTGTGCGTAACTGCCGGAAGATAGTCTGTGCCTCCGGAGCGTTTGAAAGAATAACGAGAGCGAGGGGGAACCTCAAGCCCGTTCTGCTGTGCATTTTATGCACAGCCTCAACCGGGAATCCTTGGGACTTAAGGTCCTCAAGGATTTCCTCGTTGGAAATTTCAAAAGGGGCGCCTCGGATGACGGCCCTGATTTTGCGCTCTTCCGGAAGAGCGAACGTGTGATAAGAGACTTTTTCGGCTGTGAAGAGCCTGGTGAGACGACGAAAGTCGTCGACAGATTTGGGGATGATTTTAATAGCCTCCCCGAGGTTGGTGGCTTGGTCGTATTTTATTCCTGCGTCGTAGCAGGTTTTGGAGAGGCGGGTGAATTGAGCCTTGTCTCGTAAGAAGACAGGGGGCGGGACTTGCTTCTTAGTCGGGTTAGAAGCACATCGGGAGGCCGGCTTGGGCAGTGGTGTTACTGAAACTGCAGCGGGAGCTGCGGGGACTGAGGCAGCTACGGGGGCTGCGGAGTTTGCGGGGGCGGCAGAGGCCGCCGAAACGGTTTTCGCGGCGCGTTTATGACGCTTGGAAGACACTGTCGTGAACTCTGATTCTTCGGATCCGTCTGAGTCAGACGTCTCCGTAGAACCAGAGCCCCGGAGTGTGGATTCTGAGTCGGAGTTGGAGTTGGAGCACTCCATGTCTATCTCAAGGGGCGCGAACGAGTTCCGGGACTCGAGGTAGGCCGATATAACGGGCGGCGGTGCCTGAACGGTGGTAGGAGCCACAAGGGCTATGATGGCTGCTTGAAGAGCTTGCGGGTCTTTATGTAACCTATAGACTAATTCGGTCAGGGGACCTAACAATTTATGCGAGGACATTGTCGTTGGGGACTACGTAATTATATAAAAGTTAGTGGGACACTGTTCTGAAAAGAACAGATCGTATTCTTAAGAAACAGTAAGGGCGGGATCACCGTTCTGAAAAGAACGGGACGGTTTTATTCTAGGAGTTGTGCCCTGGTTCTCAAAAGAACAGGGCCTTGCTCTGAAAAGAGCAAGTAACTCCCTTGAAACAATATACACGTTACAATTAATAACAATAAAATAATCACAAAACAAAAATGACAGTTAAAAAGCAAGACCAACAGTCAAACCGCCCCGTCCGGAGACAGGGAGGTAATAACTGGAGTTAGCGTAAAAGGACTCACCAGGCGTCGCACTGTACAGCGCGAGCAGGACAGCGGAGGCGCGAGAGCGAGAGAGCACTACCGTACGGGGACGGCTGCGCGGACTACCTGAACGACCGCTCGAGAGCGGTGTCACAGGCGGAATCGAGGAAAAGGATTAGCGTTAGTTAGCTTTTTATGCTTGGTAGTCGCCGTCAAGTAGTAGTGCAAGTTTTTCTTTGTTTTTTTTATAGAATAATATGCCCAACGAGCTCAAAGTCCACCTGATGGTAAGTAGATGCTATGGAATGGAAACCTACAGAATTAATCTGCTGTTATACGCTGGTATTCTGTGAGAGCATCGTTCTTCCCTGGTTGAGCCGGCCTATTCGTGGTACAATCATAATGTAGCTGCAGTGTGACTCTAAAAAGTAAAAAGTAACTACTGAAGGGTATAATAGTGCGCCAGTATAAATACAGGCCAAGATACAATTCATCTTAGTTCTCAATGAATACAACGCACCTGTAGCGTTCTTTGTTTAAAGATGGCTGCAGACGTTCATCCATGGACTGCAGTGGCCACTTATCATCAGGTGGACTGTAAGTTTCGTTTGTCACTTCAGTTTTAGAGAACGGAACGGAGATCCCGGGACCCCTAGTCTAAGCTGATGGTAATTACCGTGGGTATTAACGGGTAGAAGTGCGGCATACCCTTCTCGTTGCTCCCACAGCGAAAGGTAACCATGAAGATTTCCCCACGATAAAAAGGCGTTTGTTTGCTGCAGTAACCATTTATATCATCAAGTGGACTGTTAGTTTGTTTGTCACTTCAGCTTTATAAAAAAGGCGTAAACTTCAAAGCGATACATCGCATGCCATTAAAGTAATAAACGGCCTTGTTTTTACGTCTTGTACGACTTTACAAAAATGTGAAAATAACACAGTATTCGCCTGTTATTTCTGACTTTCGTAAGCCTTTAAGTAAACCACTCATTCCACACTGAGGCATCAGTGACCCGAACCGGTTGTGAAGGACGTTTTTTCAATGTTCGCACCGCAAGGATTGACCTACAGGACCACTTCTGAATGAAGAAAACCGCGCCAATTAAGTGGAATTGGTTAGGAATGTGTGCGTTTATAAATCATGCACGTAATGGAACACTTTCTTAGGGTAAAAATTAACTTTAACGCTACTAGTAAGCTGTTTACTCAACACATAGATACAAGCAAATTACTTTAAAACAAAACTATTAAATATTTAAACGATATGGCCATACAGAAAAGAAAATTAAAAATAAAACCATCAGTTCTTGTTCTCAGTGTTTATCTTAACATTAATATGCTTTTTTATGTATTAGTATATTGGAATATAAATATTTATAAAATACTATATGTATAATATAATAGATATATCGGATTTAATTTGAACGGGCAACGTGAACTTCAAGTCGCAACAGTAAAGCCCAACCTCTCCTCTGAGAAGACGGGACAAACGAGCATGTTATCTTGTAAGTGATCATCCGGAGTTAAGGCAGATGCATTACTAACTTTTCTTGAAGGTCTCAACCGTGACAGCGGATTCTACAGTAGATTCCAAAAATAGCCATCCAAGGCAGAAAGCTCCATGACAATCACACTGGGATGATCTGGCAAAAATCCAGATGATGAAGATGGAGTTTGAAATTTTGTTAATCCAAACAATTCTTCGGAGCAGTTTCTGTATAATGTACCATTAAAAATGCAGAAATGCTACAACTCTTCAACACCCGTCAATGGATCAAACCGAAGAAAAGAGTTGGTCGTCGACAAGCCCTTTTTCGCTGAATGCGGTCAAGCTGAAGAAATTGGTATTGGGCGGTTTAGTGCTGAAAACAGTTTTCTAAATGAGGTCGAGCTTACGCCTTATAAAGTTGCAATTAGTAGGTCGGTACATGTAGTGTTAATCTATCAAGTAGTAGAGTGTTATATTTACAGTCCGTAGCGAAATTAACAGCTATAATTACCACAGAATTATTTCACTATAAATATTAAATTTTTGAGTGATTAAAAATCTGTTGATAAATAAAGTTAGGTTTACAAATCAGAGCATCATATAAATGAGCATAAGATATAAAATGAACATAAAAAGTGTTGCGAACAGGCATCAAGATTCACACGCTCATTGGATGAATAATATCTATCATGATAAAAAGTAAAAGTAAAGTAAAGTTGCAGCCTATTTACGTCCCACTGCTGGGCACAGGCCTCCTCTCATTTCTGAGAGGGTTTTAGGGCAAGGAAATGTCCACCGCGCTGCCCCAATACGTGTTGGCGAACTTCACATGTCATCGAAATATTTTTTTTTTATTTCTCAGACATGCAGGTTTCCTCACGATGTTTTCCTTCACCGCCGAGCACGTGGTAAATTAAAATTAAAATTAAATTATTTTCTTTATAATATCTATCATGATATTATAAAGAAAATATTACAAAAGCGCTAGCCCACTGCACTTGCTTCATTCTGCATTGTCATCCAGAATCATTTCAATTTTTTTTTAGTTGTTAATGTTGTAATAACTAATAACATCGAATACTTAAAATTGTTGTTATTGCAATTTAATTAAAATAAAATCTATTTCCTAAATCAACTCTTTCATCTGTAACATATCTCTAAAACCTATAACATATATAATATTAATCAAATAATAAAATAAAATTAAAAACATAGGAATTATAAGGCCTCCCAAGAGTGATGAATACGGTATTCTAGTCCTTCTTACAAAAAATAAAAACTCAAACGAATAAAGCATATATTATAGGCAAGCATAGTGAACTTTGTCCAATTCTTGAGAATTGAAAACAAGTTATTGCTATATTAACACATTAAACTCGGATTTAATTAGCTTATGTATTAGGTAAATAAAGTTTTTTTTTCTTTCAACATCAAGGTCGTGTTGGTTTGTCGCAAGGTCGTTTGAAGATTTAAAGTATCTGTAACAGGTTAATACAATGAACTTTAACCTTAAAGTTCGTTGTGTATTATTATACAGTATCTTAACCTGTTTGGGATACTGTAAATTCACCTAAATAAATTTGCTCCTAAGAAACGAAGAACAATATCAAATCGGTACAGATTTAAAGATGCCGTAAGGTGTCCGTCACCATGTTTCGTCTTTGGGTGTCGTAAGAGACGGCTATGGAAAATGCCACTGTAGGAATGGGTAAGTGAAAAATACATATCGATATTTTTAAACAGTATCGATATACATTGTGTCCCCAAACTCAACTTCAAGCGGGTAAGGGGCGATAAGCTAGGTTGTTCTAGTAAGAATAAAAGATAAATTCCATGTTACTTGGTTAAGTGATAATGGGTATACTTTTGAAAATGTTGAAAATCAACAGTCTAGATCACATATTTAGATTCTGTGATCACAGATTTCTAAATTTTTCTGTTTTTTTTTAATCTAATCCTAAATAACTATGTTATTGATTACAGTCACAAATCCAATAATTAATATTTAATATTGTGAGAAAAAATTAAGTTTAATTGAGTCATGGTTAAAAACGTTTTACAACATAACTTTCACGCCTTGTCTTTAAGAAAATGTATGTATGTAATGGTACCATAAGCAAGTTTTAAAAAAATGGCCCATTTAATTAAATTTTCAAAATGGTGCTACTTATTTTTTCATAAAAATATTATTGCATATTTACGTCCAAAAAGACTTGACTTCAAACAAACTTTTTATCTGAATAGTATTTTTGTGTGCAAAAGGATTTGCTTAAGCAATAACTTGTCAAAGATTTACCGCAATCTGATGAACGGTATAGCAGCGCGTAGAATACGAACAAAGAAAAATTATTTTTTATATAATCTTTGAAGTAAATACAATATGAAAAATAACAAAATGTGTGGTAACATTAAACAAGTTTTATAATTTTTGAGATAAATATAACAGCAAAATCGGTCAACCGACCTTCAAAATTATTGAGTTAATATAGTTTAAAGTAAAATTGATGATCTTTTCTGTTCGTTTAAAAAAAAATATGTTTGATAAGACAGTCCATAAAATTTTCATATAATATTTACACTGTCTCAAGATTTCTCGCTAGTAGATTACTATAAAGTATAAACCAACCACTATTAAGTAGTCTCAGTTCACGCATAAACACCACCAGAATAGCGAACAGTTGCACCTTTTAGTAATTACGCAGTTTGATGAGTAATGTTTAGCAAATAACGGCTATCGGTGTTAATCGCATCGCCTGTGTTGCAACAGTTTGCTTAGCCTGCGTTCTGAGTTCTAACTCTCAACTTAAGTAAAACGATCAGAGCACTGTGTAAGGCACAAGTGTAAGCGTTGGCATTTATTTTTATCTCCCCATTACTTACTCTTCTTGATTCACTTTTTACTGAAATTAATTTTTAATTTATTTTATTATTAACGACGACAAGTGGTATCATTAAAAATGTTGTAAAACCGACTTCAACCTAAATAAAATGAGAACATTATCAATGTAGTCGACGTCAATTTACGCATTATTAAGAATAACTCAAAAATCACCGAAGCATGTCAGATGCAGAATAACGGCTTTACGTGCTTTTCAAAACACGAGGGTGCAACACAGCCAAAGAAGATGTATGAAACTGGATTGTTGACATCTTTCGTAACAGTTATACAAAAATATGTAGGTAATATAACGATAAATTATAAGCATAATTAAATGGTTTTTTGTTATTTAACTAAACAAAATATTTGAATAATATCATACACGATTGAATAGGCTCTATAATCGTTGCTCTATAATGTTAACATTGCCTGTTTCGAAGGAGACTTGGAAACTTTGAGTTTAAACTTGTCATGCGATTTGCCATTGTGGTTGTATTTTTGGATATATTTTGTGTTTTTATTTTCGTGAAATTAATTCACCCTTGGCTTTTCTCTCGATTTACAGGTCAGTAGGTTGTTGCGCCCACATAATGTCAATAATGTGTTACTTAGGTTTTGAGAGGAATAGACAAACAATGTACACACTCAGGCTACTTCTCTAGATGACATTTTATTAATAATTGCATAAAATAATTAAACAATTAGAAAAGTTTGAGTTGTGTTTTATTTAATAATAACTAAAAAAACGGCATCCTTTTGTGTTCTTTTCAATTTATTGAAACAATTTATCCCAAGAACAAGTGATTTTACTACATAACCTACAAATAATAAAACGAAATAAAAAGAAATCCCCAGGCCCTACAAAAATATGATTTTTTGTCATAAGTAACAAATATTTAAATCTTCAAAATAAGATATATTTGAACTTTGTTTACGCCGGGCCCAAGCTTGTATGGAACGACGTTCATCTCCTTTCTACCTTTTTTTTATAGAAGAGGGGGCAAACGAGCATGCGGCTGACCTGATGGTAAGTGACTACCGCCGCCCATGAACAACCGCAACACCAGGGGAATTGTAGATGCGTTGCCGGCCTTTTAGAAAGGTGTAAGCTCTTTTCTTGAAGGTTCCTAAGTCGTATCGGTCCGGAAAATTCGCTGGTGGTAATTGATTCCACAAGGAAGTTGTGCGAGGGAGAAAACTTCTTCTAAATCGCACAGTGGTGGACCATCAATCATCCAGATGGTATGGATGGTAATGCGAGTTTTGTCGCGATGTGCGATGGTGAAATTGAGCGGCTGGAATTAGTCTGAACAATTCCTCAGAGCATTCCCCGTGATAGATGCGATAAAATACGCAAAGAGATGCAACATCTCTACGCAGTGCCAGTGTATCGAGCCGATCAGAAAGAACTCGGTCGCCGACGATTCGAACCGCTCTGCACTGGATGCGGTCAAGTGGAAGGAGCTGGCACTGGGGTGCCCCGGTCCAGAGATGAGAACAATATTCCATGTGGGGCCGAACTTGCGCTTTGTAAAGTTGCAAGCGATGTGCCGGCATGAAATACTGTCTCGCTCTGCTGAGCACGCCAAGCTTTTTAGAGGCCAATTTGGCCTTCACTTCCAAGTGACCACGAAACTGCACGTCACTCGATATGTCGACTCCGAGGATTGCGTTACTGGCTGAGGTAAGAAGGGGAGTGCCTTGAAACTGAGGAGATACGACAAAGGGGTGGTTTTTAGCGGTAAACGCGCAAATTTATGTCTACCGGGCTGCTACTGAGAATATCTTTATAGAAAAACCCAGTAACGTTTGGCCCGACCCGGGATTTGAAACCAAGACCCCATGATTATTAGTTTCGCTTAATCAAATCGAGTCAATCGAGAACCACAAGACCAACTGAGCAGTCAATTTAAGTAACAATAATATAGTAATATATATTAGTGCTATTTTGTTTAATTATGCTTAATGGTTTTAATTTACTTCACCTCTGAGGAAGACATTTTTGTGTATTGTTATTGTTTTATAAATTACTCAGGGCCGTGTTTTACGACGATACTTGGAGAAGGAAGAGGGGGAGTCTGGAAGTTGACGGTGTTTCACTCCCTTGCCCCGAAAACACGTAAAGTGTTGGTCCTGCACCTGATCTCTCTTCCGTCGTGTCTGATTACCGTCCCATCGGACTGAGAGTGAGGGAATAGAGAGTGCACCTGTGCTTGCGCATACACTCGGGCACTGTAATCTTTTGTTGCACAGATAGAGCCTGTCTTCGTTGAAACCGGCCGCCGTGACAGAAATTCGGTCTGGAGTCAGGACCACATTATTAATATTATTATTACGTATAGTAAATATTATGGTTCGTGTGTGTGATACTGATCACGCTACTTTTAACTTTTATAATAGTTTGTCAATATAAATTGAGATTATAAATTGTGTCACGCACGCTAATTTCCTATGAAATGCGTCATACGGTGTCACAAAGTAACGGACGCGTCCCAACCGTCGCCATCACACGCAGGCGACGACTGGGACTGGGACGCGATTGACAGCTTTATAGTGGTTTCAGCTATTACGATGTGCGGTAACATCAATCCACTGCGGCTTCGTGGCTGCAACTATGTCACTATATGCTTTCGACATCCTTTTATATTGCAGAACGTGAGGTCTGCGATAGCTTATGATTTGTTGTTATTGTACCTCTAACTGCCTGTATATGATATTGTAAACGATTACAGTTAGGCCTTATAGAAAGATGAATTTGAAGTAAAATATAGTAATAATTATAAATATTTATTCATTAGCACCTATAAAGTTACAATGATAATACACAGAAATAATCAGAATTATATACTGTTGTAATAAATGAGCTCTAGCTCAGTTTGTTTTTCTGCTTGTTTGCAGTTGCCTACAACGTTGTTTTTCTGCCAGCGCCCAATATATGAACAGTACAGTACGCGCGCATCCCTGCTCATGTGCGTTTGCGTGTTGCATTTAATCATAATTGTTCAAATTAGGGTGATGCATGCATTCCCGTAGAAATAAGTAAAGCTTTTTTCCACTGGTGGTAAAAGGTCGTGGAAGGATGAAGTGTCTGTTACCTCACAATGATGAGCACGGCGGTAAACAGTTTCTTCTGGTGAAGGTGAAGAGAAATCGGCACTTAAAATTAACGACTTCATTAGTGCTGGAATGGCGTCGAACTCAGGTTAATCAAAACCGTTGTAGATCATGGGCTTACCGTAATTTCACAGTATGTGAAATTACGGTAAGCCCATGAAGATGTGTGGGAGCATATTCTAATTGATCTTCAAAGCTAAGTAAAGACAATGTCTGAACTACCATCTGAGGGTAGAAAAACCATCTAAAGATCATTCATTACAGCCTATCACAAGTCCACATCTGAACATGGACCTTTTTCATAGATTGCCTAATAGTTGCCATAGATGCCACGCTTGGCAGGCGGGTTGTCACCGCATGTGTTTTATTATTTGAAGCCTGCTGCTCATCTTCTGTTTTCACTTCCCTCTGTCGCCTCTTAAGACGTCAATGCAATGATATGGGGTAGTGATGAAAACGGCGAATTTTTTAAATGCCTATTTGCTCATTCTTTAAAAGGTTTGTATCCAGCAGTCATTCTAAAATAATGGGATTTATCTATTGACTGATTACTTAAGAAATTAGCTTCGTTTTTCTTTCTAATACGTTATCTTTCGTTCTATACAGAAAAAAGTGCACAACGAACACATTTTTATAAATCACATTGCTGGTGCAATAGCTTACGAACGGATGATTTTATTTTTTATTTTAATTCTTCTCAATTGCGAACAAATAATTTCGAATAAAAATTAACTTTTATTAAAATGTAAAAGCAGATTTTAAAAAACTAAAACGAATGAAATAATTTCACATTCTAAAGTATTTGCTAATACATAATTAATAGAAAAATTAAAACTCCGACTTCTTGAATTCTTCGAATGTAAAAATATTTAATTCTTTTTTGGTTCTCTAAAGTCGGCTTCTACTTTATCATTATCTTCATCATTACACCTCACCTAAGGAATGTCACAAAGCTCGGTTCTGAGCCACATGCATCCATCGACTCCATGCATGTCTTACCAGGTCGTCACACCATCTAGTGTGGAGTCGCCCTACACTTCACCTACCGGTACGAGGCTGTCCTTCAACCTTTCTTTTCTATTGTTTGTCGGTTCTTCGAGCTATATGGCCGGCCTATTGCTACTTCAGTCGGTTACTCTGGTCCTACCGCGGATATCGTCATTTTTAAGTTTATCGTGCAGAGAAACACCTACTACTTTGTACTAAAAGTTAAGTTTTTTACATTTCTTTTGAGTAAGAATAATAAAATATCAGTGTCGTCTAAATACGTTAAAAACTTCATCCCTTATTTTGCCACCCTTACGTTTGATTTTTTTCTTTAAATTCACATATGTCACCAACCCTTGAAGTATAAACTGTTTATTAAAAAAAGAATCATCAAAATTGTTAATGCTCGCAATTTTTGAAGTCGAATAAAAACGTTTGTTTCATGCTCTTCGTAAATTATTATATTTTTTTATTTATTTAATGAAAACATTTTTTTTACATTATTAAAACAAATTGTAATAAAGAACGAAACGTTTTTTTTTTAAATATAGGAATCGGGAATCGGTTTAATGAGAGGTGTGTGTATTTTTAATTTTATTGAAATCCAAAAGTCTCTTAGTCGTCATCTTAACGGAAATTATGTAGCTTGATGTATAAGTTTGCTTTCTTTTGTTTTCAGGTAATAACTTAATCAGTTAC